GAAAAAGTCTACCAGGAGCAGGATGAACAGCAGCCTCAGGAGGACTGTTAAGAAAATCCTCTGAATGTAATCTATAATCTGAAGCTTGAGAAACTCAGATTTTCACTTAAAGGTTCGGTGAAATCATTTAATTCTACCTGGGAACCTTTTCTACGACGCACAGAATCTCTTAATTATAATTCTCAAGAACTGGGGGTTGAGTAGGAGAGAGAGTGTTTTATTTACTTATTTATCGGTTTGTTTGTTTGTTTATGACGTTCTGATGTGTATACAGTGAACCCTCGCTATAATGCGGTTCACTTTTTACTGTCTCACTGCTTCACGGATTTGCATCATGCATTGGTAAACTTTATAGTCAAATATAATCGATGGCGGCATGTCGGTTTATAAGGATCTTTTGGCCCAGAAGAAAACAACTACCGATAACTATGTTCTTCTCTCCAAAAAACACACACATACACCGCAGGCTCTAGAAGAAAAAAACTGTACTGTACTGAACACTTGAGTCACTATTTGTCCTACTGTACTTTGTATTTTTTTTTATAATACTTTCTCATTTTCTCCCGTTCCAATCCGTCACGGTGGGGCGGTGCTGATCAATATTAACCCTTCAGTTCGTATTGATGATTAAAATTAATATTTATTTATTTATTTATTTATAACTATATTATTTTACAGTAAAGTACAGTAGTTATTTGTAAAATAAAAAAAAAAAAACAACAACAACAACAAACGTTTATACAGTACTTTTATGTGTTAAACCAGAGGTCTTCAACAGGGGGTCCGTGACCCCTAGGGGGTCCTCGGAGGCACTGCATGGGGGTCGCGAAACTTTTGGTTGATTCATTTTTATTTTTTTTTTATATTCCCTCCTGAATTGAAATGTCTTTAAATCCACATTAACATGAATTCAACACACTGTAGTAAACAGATAAATGGAGGCAGAAGATGCGTGTTTGTGTGTGAATGCTTGTGTGTTCTGTCTGTCTGGTCAAGAACGCTTGTAAATGTGAGGGTGGGGGTTGCTGGGCGTTGTTTTGGGATGTTTACATACAGATGTGCCACTAAATGTGTCATCTTTATATTTTGTACTCTGTATGTTATTGTTTTAAAAACTGTTCAATAAATATAGTTGAAAAAAAAAAGAAAATCCTCTGAATAATATGAAGGAGCTTTAAAGGTTTGACTGGAGACAAAACACACGGAGGAATCCAATGATAGGTCACCTGCAGGTTCTGCTTTACTGGGTTTTATCAAGTCAATCAAGGCAGCTGTTAAAAATCTTTTTTTTCTTTGATCCTATGAAATATTCTCATTTTCTAAAGATATGAAATTCTGGGATTTTATTCTCTATGATCAACTTTACAAAGGAATAAAATAAATATTCAAGTCTGTGTTTTATGGATCCATATAAGTTTGACTTTTTTTAAAAAAAGGATTTTCTTTTTTCACTGTATTCTTATATTTTATTAGACCTGTAAATGGGTCAGACACTAATGAAAATGATCCTCTACACTCTGGCTTATTTCCTTGCCTAAAATGCCTGATGGCAGATCTGCATCCTTACGGTTCTGCAGGGTCTTTATGGTGCAACTGTTCAGGCTGATGCCGTTAATCTCAGTCTGCAGCTTCAGAGAATCCTCCAGCTCCTCCACTTCCTCTTTCAGCTTGGACACCACCGTCTCCTCCTGGTCCAGGGCCCGTCCACTCAGAACCGCTCTGCAGAGACAAACAAGCATCCACATGATGGCTCCCTGCAACCCGATCATCGAACACGATTTAAGTTAAACGAATGAAACTCACAGAGTGTTCTGCATTTGTCCTCTGTACTGGAAGGTGATCTCCTTACAGTTATCCTCATGTTGCTGCTGCAGAGCTTTAATTTCTGCCTGCATGTCCTGGATCTGAGCCTCCAGCAGCTTCACCTCCGCTGAGTTTTCCTCACTCATTGTTTAACCTTCTGCCTGGGAAACAATGAAACATTCACTTAAATAGAATAACTTAATTACACAACAGCAAAGGTAAACCAATCTCCTCAATTTATTACACAAATCTTTAACAGGTGGAACTCCAGGTCATCCATACCTAAAGCAGTCAGATGCATGTGTTTGCAGTCTGATTATAATTCATACTGGTTGGGCACTGTGAAAATGGGACATAAACAGGAGATTCCCAGGTAGATCCATAACGTACTGGAGCCCTGCGTCAGTGCATGCATCGAGCCGATAGAGCAAAACACTGCATCGTTTTAAGAAAGTCATGTGACCAATGCAAGAGTTGTTTCTAACCGACTGACTCACTAAACTGTGTTTAAAAACTTATTTGTCAACATGATGCATCTGCTAAAAAAAGTCTAATCTTTTGCAGTTTATCATAAAATTGTCAATAATTTTGGAGCCTAAAAGGAATAGGAACGTTTCAGCCTTTGCGTTTTTATTTTAATTTTCTCGTTGTGTCATTATTTTCCTCTGTTATAATTCAGATTATCTGAATAAGTTAATTTAAAATTTAATCTTAGTTTATTTACTGTTTTCACTGTACTTATTGTTTTAAAATTATGATTTAAAATCCTAGTCCACAAGCATCCTCATTCGCATTTTCCCCTAATTTTTTTACGTTATGAGATATATGTTTACGTTATTTATTGGCTGATTCTAAAAATATCAAAGATATTTTTAATTTAAACATAGATATGAAATAATACAATATAACCTACAATAACTTAAATTAAATCATTGTACTAGGTCATCAAATCCATTCAGTTTATTCTGTCCAATAAGCTGCCTGTAGTGTCTTTAAATGTCCAGCAGGTGTCAGTATTCTGCGAGACAGAATCAATGCAGAATCAATAAAGTTTAGCTTTAAGATGCCCTTCACTACCTGCCAGTGGAGGCAGGCAGGACCCCAGGCCAGACTCTTCTGCTTATTATTGATCAGGCGGTCCAAAGACACACCTGCTGCTGTCTGGGTTATCATGTTATGACACTGAGAAGGAAACCATTTATATCAGGCAGCCGAACAGAAGCTCATTTTTTGTAAAAATAACCAACTAAAAACAATAACATGCCGTATTAATTATATAATTTAAACGGACACATAAAAGGAGAATGTTACGTTTGTGAGGTTGGTGAGTTTAAAGTTATCTTTACGCATTTAAAGACTAATTTATGTATGTTGTTTACCTGGCTGATGTGTTGCAGCTGCTCGCTGTTTGTAGCCTCCCGCTCACTGGACCGAACCAACTCCTTCCAAAGGAGGGGGGAGATGGGTGCATGCAGAATGCTTTAAAAACGGACCTGCTGTTTTTGTTAGATCTAAGAACCACCCTTATGAATATCCAATCACCTTACTACCATACAGTGATAAATTATTGTTGTTAATTGATCTAAAATATAATTTAATCAGTCTGAAACAGATTAAACATCCCTCCTTCTCGACACAGTTGAGTGAACACCGGAAAAATAAAAAACAAACTGATATTTTTCCTCAGAGTAATGCCATTTAGCTTTCGTATATAGAAAAGGTAATTAAAAAATTTTTGTCTGTGTACTTAAAGATTTGATAAGTTGTTTCTTTAAGAAAATGGACCGCGGAACGTTTTTCATATAGACTTCCGGAAGTAGATGTTACCCGGAGTCGGAAGGAAGTAGCACCGGTTGGATACATGTGAGGTAAACAGCTGAGTCTTTTTTATATATTTCTGGTTCCATGCGAAATTTATAACGGGTTTTTATTATGGATCTTAGACTTGTTTTAATACAGGATGTGTTTCTCTTTAGCCGAGTCTGTCTGCGCTCTGTTCGGATATTTAACATTAAATTATCACATCCAAACACGAGTTTAATCACCTGTTTGATGTTAATCTTTACTGTTAAACTGTTTAAAGTAACCCTAAACTGTTGAAATATTTGCGTTAAGATTAGATTTATATGATAGACTTAAGCATTTAATTTATAATGAGATACTTAATGAAACGTGTTGCATTGCCTTATAAAACAAATCCAGTAGTTTTAAAAATCCTCCAGTTGTTTTAGGGGGTATAGATGACAGATGTATGGATTTAGATACAGATCTTAACATTTAATATCTAAGGATTTGCTCTTTGGATGTCTGATATGAACATTATTGTCCAGTTAGATTCTGTTTAGTGCCACGGTTTGAATCAGACAAACTCTCATTTTTGAATAGACAATGAAATATGTATAATGCATGCAGTTTTTCAACAGGGAATGAGCAGCTTAGCAGTGAAATTAACGTTTCCATTTATAAAGTGCAGCAGTGATCAAAATGTAAACCGTGTAGGAGAAAAGGAAAACCAGTTTAAAGTCATGGTGCAAAAGGCATTGATAGGGAAGGTTCAGAGCAGTGCAAAATAAATACATAAATATGGTGCAAAATGCAGTAGAACATATAATTGAGTTCAATTAAAAGGACTGGAAAATTTGCCATGAAGTATAAATATGTTTACAAGTGTGATGCAGAGTCACCTTCTTCCAGGCTGCAACTCCTCAGACTGGAAGAAGGTGAGGAGAGCATGAGAACAGCAGAGAGGATAATGTGGGCTCCTCTTCCCTCCATTAAAGACATTTCATCCCAGCGCTGTGTGTCCAGAGCCCGTGACATCATCAGTGACCCCTCACCCCCCTACCATGGACTTTTCTCCCTGCTGCCCTCTGCAGCATCTGATGCAGGTCCAGCAGATTCCAGAACTGCTTCTTCCCCACCGCCATCAGACTGCTGAATGTTTAAAAAACATGAAAAAAAAGAATAAACTGAAAAAAAGCTGAATGTTGACAAATCTGTAAATCATACCACCATCAAAATGAACACATCATTTTGTTTTATTGCTTAATGTTTTTTATCCCAATGTTTACATTTGATCACTGCTGCTGTTTAAGAAATGGAAATGTTGTGAGAGTTGTACAAAATGAAAGTTTGCTTTGTATACACTCTGTGTATAGAAAAGGACAAAGTTTGTCTAAGTCTTGATTTGTGACTTGATTAGAGGTTCAACAGTCTTATGGCAGCGAGGAAAAAGCTGTTGCAGAACCAGCTGGTCCTGCATCAAATGCTGCAAAGCCTCTACAGGCATCTGATATTATTAGTATCTCTAAAATATTGTACACCTTTAACATCTGGGTAGTTTTTTTGTCTGGGTTTCAAGCT